TATTGTTAATGGATTTAATGATTTTATTGAGCTTTCCTTTTTGATTTAGCCCTTGAACGTTGAGTGTGGAAATTGTATGAAGGTTCAGAAACACCTAAAGTAATTGCCACTTTCTTTGAAGATACCAAAGAACCAGAATATTCACACCAATAATTATTGTCAACATCTCTTACTTGAACTCCATGCCAGCAGATTCTCTTAATGCCTTTTTTGACTTTCAAAATATATTTGAGATAACTGATGAAGATAGAACTGAATTAATGAAAAAGATTATGAAAAAACAGCTAAATTACAAACTACACATGCCTTGGAACAGACTTGATATTCTCTTCTCAAACACAGACAATACTTTTTTCTTGAAGCAAAAAACCAAAACACCCAGACTCCTCCAAATACTCCAGCTCCTAATAAGGTAATGAGCGATGACAATGAAATGCAGGACAATTGTTCAACTGAAACACCACATGCAGCTACTCCTGACCACAATGCAAATCAAATTAGCCCTCATGCAGGGTCAAGCATCTTGCATAAACCTAACCAAATCAGCCCCTTCACATCCGTAACACCTAATAACAGCACAGAAATGGAAATTGATGAGCAAAACACACCAGCCTCTGTTCTTTCACAAATTGAGTCAGCTCCAGCCACAGTTATCAAATCCTGGGCAAATGAAGTCAACAACATTGAAACTATTACTAGGCCCAACACACCATCAACAATTGAAAGAGATATTAGGAAAATCAACCCTCTGGATAAACACTTCAAAATTCTTGAGTTTTGCAGAGAAGTTGACAAATGCGAAAGAAACATCGACGCTATACATGTGGTGTAAATTATTTTGCTGTTGACTCAATTGCCAAAATCCTCAAAAATAATTGCGTCTGACTCAATTATTTTATATGTTTTAATAGTGACTCAATTAATTGCGTCAAATAATTGCGTCAATTGCGTCAAGGATCTACTTATTTCTACCACATGTATAATCGACGCCATCATTCAGTGGCTCCTTAAAATTAGGGAGGAAGGCCCTTCCGAGATGAAACCGACAATCAAAGCCATAATGACAAAAATTGGATATAGAGACCGTAGCTTTTTCAGGACCTTTGTCAAGAAAATCTCTTTAAAGGGTCAACATTAAATTGAATACGAGAAATTGGAAAAAGGTTTTCACGATAATTACCTAAAAGCCAACAATATTGGTTATATCAACAGAACAACCTGGAAAAAAATAAGAATAATTATTAATAAAGCTCTATTTATCACCTTTCTAAAGTCCACAGACTTTGCCTCTTTTAAACATTGGCAAATAACCCAATTTCTGAAATATGGTTTCAACTTCTTTATTGATTCCATATCTGAAAAATTAGACTACAAAACCCTCCTATTTAAATATGAGAAAGCCATCAAAAGTAAACTCCCGTTGTTATCCACCTTGCCTAATCATATTCTGGCTTTAATCAAAATCAAGCTCCCATACACCATTTCTATTACCTCTCCTAGAAATACAGCTGATATGGCAAGCAGCCTCAGAGCCTATTATAACTTTGATCAACTTCCTGCCTCATTTTTCGTTCAGAGACCACCAATCCCTAATAACCCTAATGACCTCAAGCCTAAAGTCAAAATGCTTTTTCCCCTAACTAAACATAGTGACCTGAGAAATCTTGGAGAACTTACCAACAAATTGAGAGACCATTATTTTGTTCCTGCTAAATTGTCAGACTCTTACTTCAATCTTCCTTTGCCAAAATCAACACTTTCATTATCATATATGGACTTACCCTTTGAGCTTGCACACCACTTCCCAGTATAAAATAATCCTGAAGCTATTCGCTCAGCTGTAGACCTTCTTAAATCCAACAACTTTGCAGTCAGGCGACTTCCAATGAATTATATTCAAGTTAAACATCCACTTCCACCAGCCCATTGATATTGCGAAAACAACTCTATTTCTTTACAATTTCAATCACAAGAGGAAGTTAAAAACTTCATCCAAACACTTAAACAAAAGTTCTTCTTCAAACTGCCATTAGGAGCAGAATGGATCAACGAAAACTTGGTTCAGGATGAAAGGCTTCACATTTCTGAAAGTGTGGAGGAACTTATATCCCAATTTAACATCAAAGATGATTAATTACATAGAGATTTACCTACTATCTCACAAACACTTAAAAAAATTAAGAATACATATCAAGGAGTAATCCCATGAGAATGGATCTCACCTGTTCTTCCAATTTTGCCTTCAATGGTTGAAGTCCAGGAGCAGCTAAACAAAATTGATATTAATATAACACTCCCATTAATGGATGACCAATATTTGGCACCTGCCATAAAATTGCTCAGGACCTATTTTTACTTTGATAAACTCCCATCAACCTTTATTATCGAAAAAAAGTCACCTGACCCAGGACTGATTCTTCTTTCATGCCTTTTTTAATCATGTCGAAATCAACTGCATCCAACTTTTTACACTCTCTTGCACAATCTTCACAAATTAATCCCTCCTCAAGCATTAAAAACCTTCTTACAATTTCCACACTCAACGTTCAAGGGCTAAATCAAAAAGGAAAGCTCAATAAAATCATTAAATCCATTAACAATA